AAAAAACCAATCTAGAAATGGATGTGACACATCCTAGTACTATGAATATAGACATACCTCTATTCAGATTCGTTCTACTAGCTAGAATAGTTACATAGACTGGCCACCCTTTTCAAGTACCCAAAAATTAAAAGAGGCAAAAGCAAAAGCTAGATCGATCGATTTGCTCCTTTAATCTCTCTCTCTCTCTCTCATTTGAACACATGCATGCATGTACGGCACACCTGCGCGCATGGATCCAATATATTCACATTTTTTTCTTGGTCATCTACTGTAGATGCACAGTCTTCTTCTACTAAATAATTAATCACAATGTACAAGCATATATAGTACATATATCGATCGATCATGACACTGTCCTGGTGGCTAGCTAGTTTTGCTCAACAAATTAAATTTTAATGATTGAGCATGTACAAATATAGGGCAGAGCCTTTTGCTTTTGGCGTGCATCTGCTGCTAACCTAACAAATCTAATAGACAAGGACCTATACAAATCTTGTCCTGATCGATCACATGATCATGTGCACACTTTGCATGTGCCCAATATAATCATGTTAGCTATATATTACCAAGGTTTCGAATTAAACACATGTGCAATTAATCAGGCCAAATTAGCTAGCACATACATATTACCATTTCTTTATATTTAATAGCGATAATGGTTTACATCTCTTGCCTCTGTTGTGAGGCACACGACTAACCATGTATTTTACCACTTTGCTTTATGCAATTTTGCACCATAAAGTATCTAATATATGATCGATTAACTATTTTGCTGAAATCGCGCGCATATGCACATGTTTGGTTTATATGATTAAATGCTCTCTCTCTCTATATATACTTATGAAATGCATAAGTATATATGAAGTGAAATTATTGTTTGGATTCCTTTGGAAATACACTTATGAAATGCATGCGATAAGAAATTGAAGATCTGATGATATCGTCAAAGCATTAATTTTGTAGTATATATATTGCTTTGTGATGCGCACACATGTAACACAATATGCAGTACACACCTGCAGATCAATACGAAAACACATTATTCATATATTTTATTGTTGTGTGTATACTGCATGCAGTATGCATGCGTATATGTAGTATGTACATGATATGTGAGGAGACTGAAACACAGTGCGCGTAGTGCTCGAGGGATCAGAAAGAAAATTTCACCGAATCTTTGAGGATTATTGTATCAAAATGTCAGACGTGAGTTACTGTTCCTCACTCGATCGATTATATAGATGCATTTTGCGCTTTATGGCCAGCTGTTGTGCAACCAGGGGCACTGTACATGTACACAATGCAACATCATTTTTTTTCCTCTTGACTGCTGGAATGATACAATAATCCAAAGAAAAAGAACAATTCTAACTTCGAAAGAAAAATTAATAGGAAAGAGAAATTAAATAACATGAATTGCCGGCCTTAATATAAATGAAGGGTGATTTTAGGGGTAAGATAATAAGAAATTAATTCAAACTAGGGGTTGCAAGAAAAAGTTGTACTACTCTCTATATAATTATATTTTTCTAACAAAATTTAGATGCAAGTTTGCATTCTTTTTATGATGGAGAGAGTATATGACCAAAGTATTTACACATTTAATATTTTATCTCTCCGTCCTAAAAGGACTTCTAGTAATTTTAGAACAAATTAAATGAGTAGCAAGACAAAAGTTCACAATACTCATAATTAAATAGGTGGCTAGTCCCGATTCATTAATTGCCGGTTGGTTTTGGTCTAATCCATATTCGGGTGGTGATGGGCGAGTGGCTTGGGAGAGTACGCACTAGATAAGGTGAGATAAATTACTACTTTAGAAGTTCTTATATTTTGAGACAAATTTTAAAGTCACTTTAGGTGGGCGGAGTAGATATGTATGATGACGGTGAAAATTGCCGTGATATATATGGAGTTTTGCTAGATCTGATATGCTAATGTGATAGACTGGGTTCCAAATTTGGAAATGGAAAACATCATTTATATTATAGATTAATTAATAGCCAGTGATCCAAAATATAGAACTTTAATTTTTAGGTGATGTGCTTGTGTATATATACATATTTAACAAACCAGTTTAATTTGCAGCATGCGCAATTCACTACTGTACAAGTGTACATATGCCCTTAATTTATATAGCAAAGTGTGCCCTTAATTTATATTAAATTCATGTGAGTTAATTTATCATCGTAAAGCACATAATATAATTGATCAAACCTCTCTAGCTACAAAGTTGGCATGCATGTATATACTTAATTTCTTCTGACGACAAATATAGTTCTAATTTCGCTTGGTAAAAAAAGATTTAAATGAAAAGAGAGAACTAAATGCTGCGCGCCCCGTTTGGAACATGGAAATGACATAATTTTTAAAACAATTTCTGGAAGAATTAACATGGGAAAAATTCCTGCACTACTCCAAATGGCGCGCCTTATCGAATTTATTTCTCCTTGTTAGTGTAGTATTTGATGATTTCCTGAAGTTCAATCTAATGAATGGAAGTAATCAAATTAAACAAATTAAGATTCATTGGTTATAGTACTGTAGAGATATCTTTAATTTGAATTGAACTTTTCATATATATGGACAAGGGAAAGGAATATGCATGCTCTAACATATACTACTAGTTGATCTATTCGATCTGCATATATTACTAAATTTCTTTTACTTGATGAGGGCAGATGTAGCACGCACAACGATTTTGATTAATTCTAAATCACGGGAGTTTTAGGGAGAAAAAAAAATCTTTGGTAGAGATCGAGATTTTACATATATACTACCAATTTCGATCTCTAGCTAGTCGATTATCACTGCTGAGGATTGCCCATAACCTAGTGTGCTTTAAGGCATGACAAAGGACTGTATGGAATGAAAGCTGTTCATCACGAATGCAAAGGTACAGTAGATTAATGTGGCCAATTTCCACACATTCACGTATGTGTATGTTAACATTTCACAATGGTGGAATCAATATAATTAATCCTCTCTGGAGTTCTAACAATCCTACAACGAACAGTAATGTTCTTTGAACCATATGTCTGCAACATTAAAAAATGACCATGCAAACATATAATATTGTAACATTTTTTTCTTCAATTCCGAAGATAAAGGAGAAAGCTTGCTCCTTTAGCCATGATTAATACTGATACGATGACATGCATGTTGCATTAATTAAGTTTGAAGATCAAATTTATTATGTGATGTACTTAATTTTGGTGACCTCTTAGCTATTTTCATTCATAAAAATGGGATTGGCATACAACTACGGCATAAGGCAGCATTTTTTTATCTAGATGATCTTAAGTTAAAATTCAAGTAACATTATATATATGGCCCAAGATTCACTCAAAATATAATGTCTATAGCCCCAAATTAAGGCAGGGTTGCACATCACTTGGGATTTCGTCCTTGCTTTGCCAAAAGGTTTAAGTAAAAAAAAACTAAACATTTTGAGTCAGCAAGGTTCAAATACTACAATAAATCAATATAAATTAGCATACCTAAAAAGGCAAAATTGGCAGCCAAACATGCATTAATCTGAAACAAAGAATTACAAAATTCCCAATGAGCACTATAAAAAAAACCAAAGCTGAATTAGTTTGATTAAAATAATTTATTTACCAGCATGTTGAAGAAAACTAAAATGCTTCATTTATGCGTATACTTAAGCATTGGTTTAAACTATATAGCAGAAATTAATCAAAATTGGGGGAGAATATGGCAAGAATACTGAACTTCAGAATAGAGTAACAGCAACAAAAAGTGAACAAATCACTTACATTGCTTCTGTTTCGACAACAAAACATGCATCTAAATCTAATGAAAACTCTTTTAAAAAAGTACAAAGCAGTAATTCCATCAACAGTGATGCATCACCATTAATTTACATAAAATACCATTTGTTGCGGCTAATGGAATTTTTCGAGGAGGTCATGCACAACAAAAATTTAAGTTCTTAATTACCACCTCCAATTCACCCTAAAATATAAGAAATTGTAGCTATGTACTGGACAAATATTTTAGAACGGAGGTAGTATATCACATATGGCTTAATTAGCTTAGATAAACAAGAAATTTTGCCAGGAATGACAATTTGAGAAACCTCTGGCCCAATGTTCACAAAGAAGGAAACAAAACATAAGAAAATCCAGGAGCCGTACACCAGTGCTAAGCTAGAAATGCTACTACTAGCTAGGTAGAATACGTAAGCAATAGGTAAGGTAGAGAATACTACTACTCCTAGATCGATAGGAGTTGATGGTTACAGCTAAGCTTTTTCCAATGGTTGGGTTTGGCCGCATTGTCGTCCTCCCTGGGAACTCTCCAACTGAAATGAAATGAAAACCCTCACCTTTCTTAATTTACTGACGATGCATGGAATTCAGCACCTCACCACTCATCACTGATCATGGCACTGAATACCTTGCACCAATAATTCCCTCCTTTTCTAGCTACGTCTGCGCGCTGGAGTAGCTAGTATCTCATCAGGACAAAATTAAAGTGGTTTTTTTTTTCTTTCTGATCCGATATGATCCCCTTTGGGGGTCCAAACAAACAAACAAAAAGAAAGAGTAAAATTAATTAAGCGGTTTGTTAAGTGATCAAAGGTAGATAGCAAGAGCTCTGATCTTGTGTGTGACAAGCTGCAAACAATAAATAAATAAATGTATCCGGTCTGATCCTCTCTTGTGATCCCATGCTCTCAGCTCAACCAGTAGCTAGCCTAGCAGTCAACATATATGCATGCATGCTATGCTATGCTGCCACCACGACACAACACGCAACCTACCAGAACATCATTGACAATTATTCTATTGCATGCATCCAAGATTTAATTTGTTAAATTAAATTTCTACTACACTACATATGTGTTGTGTCCAGATTTTAATTTGTTGAATGATTTGGTCCCTTAATTGAAATTTCCCACAAAAGAAAATTCGACAAGAGAAAATTAACCAAACCCCTGAAGGGTAATTATCACATGCAGGGAAAAAAAATTGGCAAATAGAATGCAAACCCTAGCTAATCTTATTAATTAATTGTACTTTGAGAAACATCAAGGCAGCAGCTTAGCTACTCAGTGGGGAGTAGAGAGAGTAGCTAGTAGCCTGAGCCAACAACAAGAGCAAATTAATTAATAAAAACCAAGACCAAAACCAAATTACCAAAATTACCTCTCTAGTCCACCAATCCATGCATCCCTAGCTTAGTTAATCTCCTCTCTCTCAGCTATATTGCTCCATCCCAATTTCATCATCCATCAGTGCATCCCATGGCTGCTCTGCCCGCCGCCGCCGCAGCCGAACCCGAAACCCAAGGCGCCGCCCATCGACGACGAGGACGACGACGAGGTCGGCCCATGGATGTCCACCGGCCTGGTCAGGCCGACCCAGTCGATCATGGGCCCTCCTCCACCCAGCGGCAAGAATGGCCGGCCCGGTGGGCCCACGGCCGAGGTGCTGGGCCCGGCGGCCGGTGCAGCTCCGGCGGGATACGGCGGCGGCGGCGGTCCCGGCTGGTGCTGGAGCTCCTGGACCTGGCGCTTGAGGAACTTGATGTAGCGGATGGCCTCGTCGAGCATGGAGGCGGTGTCCATCTTGGTCCCCCCCGGGACGAGGCGCTGCAGGATGCGGATGCGCTCGCTGATCCGCTCCCGGCGGTGGCGGGCGGCGACGCTCTGCGGGTCGTCGCTGATGCGGACGTTGCGGCGGCGGGGCTTCTTGATGGTCGCCGGGTCGATGTCCACCGGCTGCATCGCGGCGATCCGGTACATCATCTCCTTCATGGCGCCGAGCTCCTCGTCGGCGTCCTGATCCCCACCGCCGCCGCCGTCCTGGCCACCACCACCACCACCTGCCGCCGCCTCCTGCTGAAGCCTCAGCTCCTCGTCGCCCCCCTGGTCACCGCCGCCATAGTCATGGTGACCACGCCGCTGGTCCAGGTCGAGAGGATGATGGAGGTGATGGGCATGGTGGTGATGATGGGGAGGAGGAGGAAACAAAGAAGAAGAAGGAGAGGGATCTAGAGGGTGGTGGTGGAGGTGGAAGGGTAATGGCGGCGGCGGCGGCGGGGGCGGCGGCGGCGGCGGCTGGTCGAAGAGGAGGGGATGGTGGTGGCTGCCGAGGCTCATGTCCAAATCCCATGAGCTGCTGCTGCTGGAGTTGTGGGTCATGTTGTCCATGGATCGATGAGCTGCAGCTCTGCTAGCTAATTGCTGTAGTAGCAGCAGATGAGATCACCACTCACAAGTGCATGCAGTAAGTGATGGCAGCAACCTAGCTAGCATGCAGCTTAGCATGGATCACAAGGTAAGGAGGTAGTACAGATTTGAGTACATATGCTTTAGCTCTGGTAGTATGTAGCTCAGTCACAGCAGGGAGATGGAGATGGAGGAAGGAGAGCCCATGAGTGGTCACATAAAAGATGGCTTTATAGGGGAATGGAGGGGGAGAAGAAGGGGGAGGATAGCTGCTTACCTTAGCTTGAGGTGTACTAATGTGTACTAGTGTGTGTCTAGATGCATTTTTATTCATTCATGTATTATGTTTGGTGTGTACAGTAAGTGTGAGGTAAGCAAATGGCTGGATGTCTTGCTTACTATGATTAAGCAAAAGGTTGGATGATGAATCTGTTAACTACTCCATTTTTTATGAGAATTTTTATGGTCCTTAAGATACCGATAGAGGTACCAAATTTTACGCTTAAGCTATTATTTGTTATTCTTCTGTATAGGAGTTTTTGTTCCGTTTGTCACCCCTCACCTACCTCTCTTATATCCGCCCCTCGTGCTCTCTGTTCCCTCGCAAACATGACATTTTTTTCTTGGACATTGACATGCATGTTCCCCAAAATTCAACTTTCACCCTTAGTTTCTATAAAGCTATATATTGTGCAAAAGTGACATTGAGACGTATTTTTTTAGAGAAAAACTTGCACGCATGATCGATGTTTCATTGAATCTAATACAGCTATCCATATAGGAGAGATGTTAGAAGAATTTTTAAAATATTGGACTTTCACAATCTTAAAACATCACATTTTTTTATGTAGCATAATAGTTTTATTTTTGAATTAATTAATGAAAAATTACTATCATGTGATATTGAAAGCTTTTATCCTTTGCTTAATTGTCTCTACTACTATAAAGGGAAGTCGTCTTTCTTCTCTTCTTCCACCATCATACACCCCATAAAAAGGAAAACCACCCTACCTAAAAAAAGACCTACTAAAAAAACTAGTGTTTTCATGATCCACTAGAAAAACCAGTCAAAGAAAATTGAACCTCATAAAACCATCCTTCTGTATTTCTTCATATCCCATTGTAACGCACAAGCATATATAGGACTAATTAATTACAAGGAAAATGCCAATTTTACTACTTAGGCTTTATCATAGTATCGATTAAGAATCGAATTATATACATATATTATATGTTTACATGATTGCATATTAAAAAGGCAAACTTAGATTGTAGTCAAATATCACTATTGCATATTTTTGAATTGACATTTTTTTTCATGTCTCACCCATCATAAATGCATCTCTTGCTATATATAGATAGTGGTACTGTAACAACTTACTCCCTCCGTCCCATAATATAAGGTATTTTCATCTGTAAATTGTTCTGAAAAGAGATTTTAGGTTTCCAAGATAGTATTTTATTCTCCACCTACCAACTTTTATACTATTTTATTATTTCATCTACCACTACTTTCTTAATTTTTACAAAAAAAATGGCATAATCCCTCATATTATGGATGGAGGGAGTAATTCATAATGATTACAGTAAAACAATATACTCCCTCCGTTTCGAAATGTTTGACGCCGTTGACTTTTTAGCACATGTTTGACCGTTCGTCTTATTCAAAAAATTTAAGTAATTATTAATTCTTTTCCTATCATTTGATTCATTGTTAAATATATTTTTATGTAGGCATATAATTTTACATATTTCACGAAAGTTTTTGAATAAGACGAACGGCCAAATATATGCTAAAAAAGTCAACGGTGTCAAACATTTCGAAACGGAGGGAGTATATATTAATCAATTGTGAAAAATATAATCCAATGTATATTCTTTATTGATGAAATGTACGATCACAAAAGAGTCTTTCTCACCCAAAAACTACGCAAGGTCACTTGCCCTTTCATAACCGCAATGAGACTATTCAACCTAGCTGCTTGTTGTTGTCCTGGTACTCGATGTGTTGTTGGGAGAAGGAAGAGAGAGAGAGAGATGTGGTGGAATTTATTGCAGAATCGGTAGATGATGCATGGGATCAGGTGGCAATAGGGAGTAAGTTGTAACTAGGGTGAGGTTGTGGGGTCATCTCATGATGGTCACCGGGGTTACTAAATCTGGCAACGGTGATCGATGGATGAGAGCAGCAGCAGCATGATGATGATGATGATCGAGCCTGCTCGGCCGGTAGAGATCGAAGAAGAAGCTATAGGCATGCATTATGCATATGATGCCTCTGATGCGTATGCAACAACAGATCAGAGGCCCCTCCATTGATGATCGATGTCCTATACTAGCTACTAGTGTATGTACATACTCTCTATCTCCTGCTTCTTCCTGCTCTGCTTCTCTCTGCTCTACTAGTGTCAAGGAGAAAGAAACGAGTAGAGAAGAGAGAAGTGAAGTAGCGAGAGAAGGAGATACTGCAGCTTGCTAGCTGTGCCACCCCTCGTGAAGGCCCTGCAGCCTTTAATTTCACACATCCCTAGGCTCAATCTATATATCCCTCTCACCTCTCTCTCATTCTCTCTTTCCTTTCATGCCCTTCTTTGTCATCTCTCTCATCCTTTGTCCTTTTCCGTGAGCATAGTTGCTCTTTCGCTAAATTAAATAACTAGCTTACAGGGTTTGTTGTTGGGTTTAGTCCAGTATCGCTAAATGTTAGTGAAGTTATCACGCATTCACACAGTATCCACCATTAATATTCGATATGGGGTCGTTCTGAAATATAATAGTATTTTGTTTGCAAAGCTTTGATCATAACATTTTGGTTTGACTTCATAGATAATCCTAAGAAGTCTATAGATTCCTTATTCTTAGGCCTTGTTCGGTTTGAAGGGGATTGAAGAGGATTGGAGGGAATTGAGGGGGAATAATTCCACACCACAATAGGTGTGGAATAAATCCCCTCCAATCCCTCCATCATGGGGATTAACCGAATAAGGCCTTAATGATTTTCCGTGGTGTCCTTAATCTGCGCGTTTATGATTTGTGACTTTTATTTATTGCTCTAGATCATTTTTTCCCCTTATGCACACTCTATTCATTTAATTAGAAAGCGTGCAACCAACCCTCAAAATCTTCACTCTATTACATACAAAATATTTAGTATATTAAAAATTCGTTACATAGTGTTGTTGATGCAAGAAGTAAAAAAGGAACTAAAGGAGTATATATACCATCACAAGTGTGCACTGAAACCTTAAATTGGTGTTCCAAATTCTTCCTTTTATTTCACCCCCTTCTTCTCACAAGTTGGACATGGCATGAATGCTAGCTATACATAGTGGCTGTTGGGCCATCTCCTGTGGCTAAGGATGCAAGTCGGCAATCCCGCTACCGGCATAAAAACATGCTTCATAATTTATTTCCTATTGGCTAGCTAGTACAAAATTTGGAAAAAGAGTTAACTAGAATTAGGGAGGGAAAGAATCATTGCCTGCCCCACTTGCATCGCTACCGATGGGTACTACTTGCTGGAAGCCAGTGATTGGGCGCGCACAGGAGCAAATTAAGAAGAAGAAAATCTTTGGGTATATAATAATTTTGGGGAGAACAAGGAAGGAGAATAAGCAAATAGGGGTAATATGGGACATATTAGCTCATGCTCCCTCCTCCATGACAACAAACACATGTTAACTTGATTAATTAATTACTAGTAGCTAATAATTATTACCAGCTAGTGAACTGCAGGTGCATATGCATCTACCTATTTTGACATGGAGACATGGAGTCCAACTTCTAGTACTATGTTAATTGCACTTGACTGATAACTATCTGCCAGAATTAAATGGGAGTTCTTGTGCTCAAGCTCCCATGCATGTTTCTTCTAGACATGCTAGATGAAATTCTAGACATCCTACATGAAGGTGATGCACCTCTCTCTCTCTCTCTCTCTCTCTCTCTCTCTCTCTCTCTCTCTCTCTCTCTCTCTCTCTCTCTCTCTGTGTGTTGTGTGTACATGTAGCACATGTGTGATGAGTGTGTGACGAATGCAAGCATTGATTTCCTAGGTTTCCTGCTGCAGCCAATGTGTACCTCCCCCCCCCCCCCCCCCCCCCCCCGCGAGTGGACAAGGAGTTGTTGCCTATACATAGCCTACTTCCTGCTCCTCATGTCCATCGTCTCAACCATCGCATTATGGTACTCTATATATATGGTTGATGTATTTTGACATCGATTAATTAACATGCAACATCGTTTCTTGTGTCCCTGCACATGATCAAGGGCAATTTGGGCCAATGATATTGCTTGCATGCATGCATGCACCACAATTACAGTTAGTTGAATAGTGCAATGAACAATGCATGTAAATGACCATTTAATTATTCATCAATGTCTTCTTGTATGCATTGTTAACTACTCCTAATTAATGGTACTAGTAGATAATTAATTTCATTTTGTAGCTTGTGTTGATAGATTCTGTCGTTCTATGGACACTGTCATGTGTGAGCAGAGATTCTTACCCATTCCCTGTATCATGCATGCTGCCTCTGCATCTCGATCCAACACTAGCAGCTGCATATTGTCCGACAAGAACCTATATATGTATCTCTTCCTTACTTTGCTTTCTACTACATACATGTGTATATGCTGCTGTTTCCTCAGCTGAAAACAAGGATTAGATAAAAAAAATATAACAAGCTGCTAGATATATAGATACTCAATTAAGCTAGGCTTTGTTAAGGTGAAAAGAAATGTGTAAAGATTGATATGCTTTTGATCAACTGTATAATATCAACCTGCTGGGCTAGCTATCTACTTGGCCTTTTGAACCAAAGTATTAATTAAATTAGTTAAGAATATTATCCTGCAGAGATGCAGGTAGTACCTACAAAAATGTAATTTCAAAGTGTGGAGCAATTTGGAATCAAGACAAACGTGGCCATCACACCTCAGTTCTCTAAGCTCAGACAATGCATGCATATACTAGTATTATCGATCTTGGCATGCATATGCATATGCACATAGAAAATTACTGCCTCTCTGCTGCATCGATCGGTTCATTAATTTAATCTTCTTGAAACCTGTATACACTGATCTGTACGAAGGTGTAGTCAAGTCAACAGGACAGCTTCACTTGAACATAATAACTGATGCGTATCATGTCCTTGAATTCACAGCTGATCTTAACGATCGAGTAGCTTCAGTTCAGGAGCTAGCATTAATACACAAGGCTATTTACTGTGTTCTAGTAATTAATTAGTGGCTCGATCGATCTTGTATTAGTTTTGGTTATATAAATT